GTTTGGAGAACTCCCCAATCCCACTCCTGGCTGGCCCCGCCCTGCCCAACCCTCCCCTCCCAGGAGTCACCACGCAGCCTGTTTTGGATGCAGGTAAGTGCAGCACGCTTGCGGAGACTTGGGGAGGGTGAAAAATGGGCCTCCCAGAAGTTCGGGAAGGCTGGAAATGATCCCATTTCTGGCTTCCAGTGAGCCTCCGGAGCCCGGGGAAGCCGTTTTTGCCCTTCTGGAAGCTCGAGAAAAGCCTCTGGAGCTCGGGGAGGGCAAAAACGTCCCCCCACCATGGTGCAGGAGGCCGACTAGGCCACGCCCACCCAGCAACCAGGCAGAGAACCCTTTCTTAAAATTTTTGAAGCCCACCCCTGGACATGAATATTACAACTCTACATTTATGTACCTGGATATAAATTCTATTGAATTATGGAGGGTTCCCCCCACCCCCCAACCAATCCTCACGGATGTTAAACCTTGATGGATTGTGTCACCTCGTTTCAAAACGAGTATCCTTCTCAATAATTCCACTTAAGTTGTAGAATTTTGTTAGGGTTATATTATTGGTTATCAGTTTCTATTTAAAAGTGCACTGATTATTATGCTAACTTCACAATTGTGGAGGACTCTATTACTTTCATTTGCAAATTCTATCATTGTGGTTATTCCTAAGTGGTCTTCTAAGATCTGCTGGGAAGTGAAAAAAAATATTTACTCCCTGTTTTGAAGAAAGTAACATCCAACTGTTATTAAATATCACTTCTTTTGTTCATGCATTTTAAGCATTCCGTATTCTTTTTCCTTGTCAATATTTGATACAATAATGTCCAAAGGCTTTTGAGACATCAAAATCAGACTGTTTTCATCTTTGAACTTTGCTGAAACAACCAAACCAAGGAGCTGTGAATTTCACCTCTTGAAGGTATCAGATCAGGTATCAGATCAGAGGTGGTATTCAGCCGTTTCTGACCAGTTTTGGAGAACCAGTAGCGGAAATTTTGAGAAGTTCAGAGAACCAGCAAATACCGCCTCCGACTGGCCCCGCCAACCCCATCTATTATCCGCCTCCTGAGTCCCAGCTGATCAGTTAAAAAATTTGAATCCCACCACTATATCAGATGGATTTCACTAGCAAGAATGGAGAGAAACTCAATTCTTTAAAAGGATGGAGAGGAGGAAAAACATAAGGAGAAATTGAGGCAGACTTTTTTTTGTTGTTGTATCCTTTATCTTGCTTAATTATTGATACGAGAATGGGCTCTTGCATTCCTTTGAGAAACTGTCAAATCTACACAGGGTTAGGAAAAAAAAATACCCCCGTTTGGCATGTAAATCTATTGGGGATAGTCCTTTCTCCTTCCAGCCTGTTAGCACTTTTTTTTTGATCTAGCAAAGAATTCCAACTAGAGACCTGGCAAAGACCGGATCATGTGGTATCTCACTGTCTCTGAGATTCTCATTAAATCTTCCACCTACTCATCTACGGGAAGAAACAGACTCTGCTTGTTGTTGACTTGTTTTCTAGAGCTTGTCCTTCTATGCTGAGAGCCAAAGTGCATGCAAACATCCAACTCAAGGCCCAAGCGCTCAATTCAGCAAGAACTGGTAGGAACCAGCCAGAAGTGTCGACAGCTCGCACTAAATCAAAATGGCTAAGGAATGCCTCCTGTTCAAAAGAAGCTGGGGAACAAGAGAGGATAAAACAGGAGTATGAGATGACCGAAAATGTAATTCACTCAATACCAAAGAGCAAAAACAAAAAGACAACAAAAATCGAAAAGAACAATGAGAGTTTAAATTTCTTACCTTGGCTAGTCCGGATATTTCTTCTGTGACTTGTTCAAGAAAATGTAAGCAAGCAAGCAAGTAATGTTTACTTAAATAGTAAGCAGTGAAGGTATATACAGTACATGCAGGATAGAAATCCAACTGAATTGATTTTCTGCCTTCCAGGATGCATTTATTTAATAGGGCCAGCTTCCTATTATGTTAATCTTAAAAAAAATACCTATGGTGGCCTATTTTATTAAAGCTTCAAATCCAATTTTCCCTTCTTTGACTTTCACCAGCATCAACTTTGCAGTAGAAAAATCAACAATAGCACCATCAGCGCTGTCTCTCTGTCTATCTATCATGCCAGGGTGGCACAGTGGTTGGAATGCAGTATTGCAAGCTAACCCACTGCTCACTCCAGGAGTTCGATTCTTAGCGGCTCAAGGTTGACTCAGCCTTCCATCCTTCCGAGGTTGATAAAATGAGGACCCAGATGGTTGGGAGCAAGATGCTGACTCTGTAAACTGCTTAGAGAGGGCTGGAAAGCACTGTGAAGCGGTATATAAGTCTAAGTGCTATTGCTATCTTATCGATATGTATCTCATCAATCTCTCTCTCTTCAGTATCTATCTCCTTAATATCTATCTCATCAATACACAATCTCTCTCTCAATCTCAATATCTCCTTAATATCTATCTCTATCTCATCTCATCTCTCCATCCATCCACCCTTCTTTCTATCTATATCAGTATCCCTTCTCTCTCAATACCTCCTTAATATCTACCATCTCTCTCAAAATATCTCTTCTGTCAATACCTCAATGTCTACCTCATAGCATCTATCTATCTATCTATCTATCTATCTATCTATCTATCTATCTATC